TTTGGCTTTTGGAGGAGTCTCATTTATCATAATTTGGAGTATCGCGTTCCACTGATTTCTGCAATATTATCTACACATACATGAAATAATACAGTATATTAATTAATAATATGTGTTGACAAAAATTGCCATTATATGTAATATTGTTAGAATTATCGTGTTTTAGTTAATAATGTTCAGTGGCATACGTACGCATATTTTTTTCATAAAATAAAAACATGATAATGTAATAAAATAAGTGATATACAATTATATAATTCGCGAATCTTATCATCAACTTATTTAATTAATTGTATCATCTTATCAACTTATTAACTTATTATATCTTATCATCATTTTGTATGTATTATTATATGCTTGCTGCATTAATAAAAAATAAAAATTTCAAAAATGTGTTATAATAAAATGAAATATAAGATAAAAAATGTTGATTAATATCAAATGCACTAAATGTTTTATATCTAAGGCTTAGAACAAAAGATAGCGAATAAACATAAGTGGGGACGGCGAGATAGTGGGGGCCGAGTCCCCATCCAGCGGACTCTGAAGGCTACTCACGAGCAAGCTTTTGGCCAGGCCTGTTTTATATGATTAGATAAATTATATAAGAAATATTTGAAGATTACTTTATGAACAAAGTTTCGTATCATTTTTTGACCAACGGATTGTTGTTTCGCGTTATCGCTCAGAGAAAAAATCCATTCCAATTGTAGCCATGGTGTTGCCATTTTTTTATACATATATTTCATCAATCTGAAAAAATTATATATTAATAATTGAAATATAAATCACACGTCTTCAATAATATGAGATCTATATACCTTTCTTGCCAGTACAGTAGTTCATCATATTCACCTTTATACGCCGTTCCTTCTATACCTCCAATTGATGCTGTAATATTATTTAACTTTTATATTTAATTATAGCATTAATTGTAATTGTATCTATAATAGCAACTTGTTACAAAAATTTGTTATAAATCAACATATGTCATATTTGCACAATTTTCACCTAAATATATATCAGTCACGTATCGCCCTATGTACGGCTTTATGTCAAACGTATGACCACCAACTTCTTTTTCCAAATAATCCCCACA